AGCTGCCGAGAGAAGATGATTCTTTTCCTCAAGAAATGATTTCTATTCCAGTTTTTCAGTCAGTATTCTCGTCCAAATCTAGGATCAGAAAAGAGATGTAATCATATTCGAATAATTCAACTGTTTTGGTGGAATTCAATTGTTTAGAGACGTTGCAGTGTTCCGTTTATATTAGTGTAACTGTAGGATTTACGAGAGGCGTTGAAGAATAGTCGGGAGAGTGTCTCTTCCTCGCCACCACCACCACCACAGCAGTTAGCAGCCAGCCGTGCGAAAGCTTCCGAGGTTAGTGGTCACAAATCACGCAATAAATTTTATTGCACATCGATATTTTTGTTTCAAAGACATTGTATTTAATTTTCCACAAGTAAGCTGACAACGGCAAAATGTGAATGATTTTGTGGTGAATTTTCGAGGGTTTGTTTTTTTGCCGTATTCAGTTAATGTGATTAACAATTTTAGCCGCCACCTGACAAGAAGGCTAGCGTTGTGGTTGCGAGGGATCCAGCCGAAGCGTTGATCGACGATCTAGACAAACAAGCCGAGGCTTTAATCAACAAAGCGAGCGGTGCTGAGAAATTGGTGTGAATCGTTTTCGTTCTCTCTTCATCTTTAGAATCTTGTGGATTTTAAAGTGAAGATATTCCCGTGGAATCTCTCAAAATCTTCATGTTTAACTGTAGCGAAAATTGAAGAAAAAAGTAGAAAGTGGAGTGTTAGCAGTGTTTCCGAGTGTTTCCCTCAGTGAAAAAGGAATACAGTAATGTCAAATGGCGTTCAAAAAAGCTTTTCATGGAAAACTGTCAATTGCCTTATTTAGAGGGAGACGCAGCTGATGTCGTTCTATCGGAAGAGGTTATTGGATACAATCAGGGAACTGAATGCTAAAAGTGAAGCGCTTACAAAAGCGAATGCAGACGTTGAGAAGTATCGGTCGCGCTACAAAAAAATTTGTGAATTACTTCGAGATGCTGAAGGTATGTGAATGTGTTCGTTTCATTTGAATGAGTTAATAAGTAAATTGAGTTCGACAACAGATTTGAAATGGTAAAATTTTGATTCGAAGTATGCAGTTATGAGAAAGTTTTTGTTATAACGCTGATGAGGCGATATATGGTTTTTGTTTCCGATTATCGTTAGTGAAAATTGATAATTTGATGTGATTTAAGTGAATGAAAAGGCGCATATGG